ATTTCAATATTCTTAAAAGATCTTAAGTAGACTTCATTTTCTTGGCTAACAATTCGACTTTGGTACATTTTCTTGTAGTTTTAAGGCACAAGAGATTTCACATTTTCTATATTTATTGATTTAAGCGACAGTTTCATGTATTTGTATGCAAAAATTATAGATGGATATGTCCCCTATGTACCCCATGTACCCCACAGTACAGTGCTGTACCTTTTCCACTTAATATACATTATATGTGTACCTATTCGACTTTGGTACATTTGCTTATAGGTTTAAGGTACAAGAGACAAGTTGTCAAGTGTCAGACTGTGACTGCGACAGTGACTGTGACTGTGACTGGGGGTCGACTGGCACAGCCACTGTAGCTCGCTCTCTGCCATGCTGACCTGGCCCCTCTCTCTCTCTCTCTCGTGCACTGCCGCTCTCACTCGCTCTCTCTTTCGCTGTCGTTGCGCTGCTTTACGGTCACTTGAACTTCCAGTTTTTTTTTTTTTTGCTGTATTTTTTTGGGCATCGCTTGCGTTGACAAGCAACAAAACAAAAGACGGCTGCGAAAAGGGCGTAAATTTGTTCATTAAGCGTTCATTGACATAGGCTTGATGCGAAGGGCGCGGCGAGGGGATAGAGCGTGTGTTGGGCGCGAGGTGGAGTTGAGGTTGAAGTTGGAGGTGGGGGTGGAGCTGGTGTTGGGGTCTGGCAGGCAGCAATTAAAATGTCCATTTTGTGCGAATCGTGCGCAAGGAGCCATCATTCAAATAGAGTCCAAAAAGAAAGCGACTAAAGAGAGAAGCGCAGCAACGATGGGCCGGCGGCAGCGAGGGTGCGCGGCGTGAGGTTGGGGTGTCAGCTGTTTAGCTGTCGATCTGCGTCAAACAATTTTGATGGCCGCGACTTGACAGCCATTTGAAGCTCAAACACACACAGACACACACACACACATGTCGCTGAAGCTTTTTTCAAGTACAGTACTTCAACATGGAGCTGGCGTCGTAATTGATGTGAAAGTGAAATTTTGTTTCGGTTATATTTTCTTTCTCCTCTTCGCTTTATTTTGTTTTTTTTCTTCTTTTTATGCGTTGCGTTGCGTAGCGTGGCGGGGCGTGGCATGGTAAGAGGGGCAGTGGCAGTGGCGGCGGGTCAAGTCAGGTAACTGCGAGTGACCATAACCTTAAGTTTTGTTTTTATGTCTTTTGGCCAAAGCAAGAGCAAAAGCAACAGCAGCTAAACGAATGATGATCGCTGTTTTAAGCCGCAGCCCCCGCCTCTGCCGCTGCCGTTTTCGCTGTTGCTGCCGCTGTAGACGCCGCAGCTGACGTCGCTGCTATCAAGTAATCTTCAGAACTGAAAGAACACGTGCTGCCTGCCCGAAGACAGTGGCAGCGACGCTGCCGTTGACGCTAACGCAAAGCCAACGGCGACGGCGACGCCGACGACAACGCCAATTCCGACAACGTCGTCGTCGTCGTCGCAACGGGTTCAATGGCTGACCCAATTTCGGGCAAAGCGTCGAATGAGTGGAAAGAAGCAGACGAGAGCGAAGCACGCACTGTGAAGTGTAGTGAAGTGGAGAGTGGTGGAGAGTGCAGAGTGGAGACAAGCACAGCGCAACGGTGTGAAGTTTTGATAGAGTTGGGCCGAACGGGAATAGTTGTGAAAGCAGCAGGCAACTAAAGCACATGAGAGAATGCGAAAGAGAGAGCAGAACATATATACAGGAACAATTCAGAGAGACAAAAGTTCATCACATGATGACGATGACGATGACGATCAAGAGCGAGTGCAGCTCTCAGCAAATAACTCTCTCTCTTTATCTCTCTCTTCCTCTCTCTCCCTGCTTCTAACTGAGCTGAGCTACTGTTACAGTTTGCTTACTTACTTTATTTGCCGTTGTTGTTGTTGTTGTTGTTGTTTTTGCTTTGGTCGTATTGCCTGATTGGCATTCATGTGATTGTTGCTTTTGCTTTTGTGGGTTCGTTGTTACTTTTATGTAATTTCATTTATTTTCACTCTTTCCGTGTGGCTGACTGTATTTTTTTTGTTCGCTCGTGTACTTTCTTTGCGCCAGAAGGGTAGCAACTGGTGGACCTGAGTGCGAGTGAGCACGCGCTACTCGCTGGGCCCGCTTAATGCAACGGAATTGGCAATGCAATAATTTCTCAATGCTACACTGTTATACACCTATTTAGATGAATGTGTGTGTGTTTGTTGTGTTTCTCTGTCTGTTTGTATTTGCATATTAATTTGCGGCTTGGCGCTGCAAAATGTTATTGTTTGACCGTCAGCCGCTGCGTATACGCAATGTGCAAATCACATTACGCATACGCCCCCTTGGCCGCGCATATATGCATTTAATGCACATCCATGCATATTCAACATTGAATGCGGCCAAACAACTGCGACAACAACAATTTGCACAGCCAACTGCATCCTCAACAACAGCAACAAAAGCAACAACAGCGACAACAGCAACATTCATGTTGCTCACAATTTGTCGATTACGTGAAAGTTTATTGAACTTTCGATTTTGCTAAAAACTATTTTCAATTCAAAAGGTGGCGCACAATTGCACGCCGCACAGCACTACAGATATGGCTTTGTGTGCGTGTAAGTGTAAGTGTGTGTAAGTGTGTTTAAGTGTGTGTGTGCGTGCATAGTTTGCTCAGTGAGTCGCTCGGTCAACGAGTCAATGGCGGCTGTTGGCAGTTGGCAATCGGCGCTTGAAACAGCCGCCAAGCGAATCGAATGCAATCGTGACACACACACACAAGCACACACACACAGACACGGAGTTAGCTAGACCGACTATGAATTACCCTGTATTACAAAATTATAAATTATACATATAATGTTTAATAATTTGAATAATAAATAGTCTTATATTATTATTATTCAAATTCAATCAATCGATATATATCAATATTGTTATTAATTTCCTGGGTAATCGTAATCGTAGGGACTTTCACTTGTTTTATAAGTAAACAAAATTGCTTTGTGAATCAAATTTGATTTACTTCGACTTTTTTCACAACCATAAAATTTTCTTAGAAGCCAATACTTTCAGATTTATGCCTAGGTTTGTCTGCTCTTTGTGTTCTTGTTGCTAGTTTTATGCACTTCTTATTACTTTTTTACTCGTTGCTGCTGTTGCATTTTGCTTTGATTTGCTTCGGCACTTTCCATTGCATAAGAGCAAAAGTTGATGAGAAGCTGAAAGTGGGTGAAGTTGCTCGCGAAATAGTGGGGAATGGGGCTGACATGTTGGGGCCACATGTTGGGGATGATTCGCTTGGCAGCTACTGCACTGTTCAAACACTTGAAAAATGACCAAATGGACACTCAAACATCTGCCTCTTGGCCTGCCACTCTCTACCCCTCAGTCTCCCCCAATGCTATTCATTCTCATTTAAAAAAAAAAAAAGAAAAAAAAAACGACTCACTTCCTTGTTTGCGCCTGCCCCCACTCGACGGGTAGCAACCGCCAATGGCCTCGACAAATGCACCCCGGCCTTCCTATTGCAGCCGTAACAAGCGCTTGCAACGTTGACTCCATTAAAAGGTAAGTGGCTGGGTGGACAGATTGGCGGTGCAGCGGGTGCGTTGTCTGCCTATAAGCCACCTATGTCAAGTGTGTGTCTGTGTGCATGTGTGTGTATGTGTGAGTGTGTCTGTAGCTTGTTATGTTGTATAGTCAAACAGCAGGAACAACAGCAACAACGTTGCACGACTTGTCGTCATCATCAAATTGTTTTTAGTTTTTCATAGAAACAGAAACCGGGCATATTAGTTCAGCAGAAAACATATATTTGAAATATGGGCAACATATTATTTCATATAGTTGTAATCAATACAAACAAGACAAAATGTAATCATTTTACTCGAATATTGAATACCCTACCCTAACCTACCCATATTGATTATAACACTCAATGAATGCAACCTATCATAAGTAAAAATATATTTATATATACATATTTATTTTTATAAATATTTATTTATGTATATATATGTGTGTGGGTTTATGAGCCATCACAGCTGCTAACAGGGCAGCAGCTAGTCGAGAAGGCATTAGCTCAACTCTGCTACTTATTAACTGTTGTCCTCGTATTCCACCTCTCTCTCTCTTCACTTTTCACTCCCATTTGCGCTTGTCCACCTCTCCAATTGTCGCTCTCACTGCTCTGTCAGCCCCTGACAAGCTCCTCTTTCCTCTCTCTCTCTGTTTGCTCTCTCCCACACCTCCCGATCGCGCAGCCATCTATGCCTTTTACATCTGCCACCCATCTCATTGCAATTGGCGTCATTTCGTGCGCCGCTGCCGCTGCCGCTGCCGCTGCCGTTTGCATCATCACCTTGTGCCGTTGTCAGGGCATTGGCACAGTTTCTCTTCTTCTTATATGAATACATGCACACACACACACAGCCGTCTGCTTTGTATGTGCTTTACTCTTTTTTTTGCATTTTTGCTGCGCTTCTAATTCGCCTTTTGATTTTCTTGTTTTCGCAGTTGCAGTTGCTTTTCATGTTGTTGTTGTTATTGAAAGGGTATTTATTATTGGATATATGTATTAATGTGTATATGTGTGTGTGTGTGCGTGTGTGTGTTAGCGTTCTGTGAGTCTGACTCTATGCACATTGAAATTATTTATAAGCTAAATATCGATATACCACTATAAGCATATCGAAACTAAATAAATCGATAAGTGTGACAGCCTTTTATTGTTTTTTAATTATTAAGCATCGATTACTAAATAAATTCCAATAAAAGTTACATACCAACAATCGATCGATATACTTATAAGATTTCTGCATTGGTATCGATAACACATAAATCGGTCTATTGCCGTCAATAACATATAAAAGGTATGTAAAACATTTATTTAAATAGTTTTTCCTCATATATCTTTCCAATTTATCGAAGGATTTACACGTTAACATCAATTTAGGGATCTCTGCACGACTCTTATTAGATCATCGATAACTGTAAGATACTCGTTACTTACCGAGTTAACAGTAAGCGAGGCAGCGACTACTGTGGCAACGTCTACAGCTGCGAGTCCTGCTCCGCGCAGATGGAATTGGAAATGGCTGCAAGAAAGGCGCGAAAAGAAAAGCGAGAGTTAATTTTAATTGCGACTAAAAATGATATGGTGCTACAGGTGAGTAAGGCAGGTAGACGGGTTAGAGACGACCTAGAGACCAAATGGAAAGTCAGTTACCGAGACCTGACTACGGGCCGACACTGGAAATATATATATTCGACAATGCACGCCAGGTCATATACCCTATATACCCTGGAACAGGCTGATTACGCTCGCTGCGGCCCAGGTAATTGAGGGAGCTAGCTGAAAATCAATGTCTATGTCTGCGACGCTGTCTCCACTATAAAAAGCTTTTGAGGGTCGCGGTGAGGGACGTCTGCGTGTCATTGTTGTTGGTTGCAGTGCATTTGCCAAAAAAAGCTTTCGACAGCAGCAGCACCAGCAGCTGCTGCTCATCTTCCCTCTTGCAGAAAGCTTTCAATGCCCTCTCTCGCAGGTAGCAAAAAAAGAAACAAAACGAAAATAACAAAGGAAAAAGCGCGACGTCGCTGCCAACGCGACCTGCCGCCTGTGCTGTGCTATTGGGATAGGTCCAAGTCCAGGCAGTATGCGTGCATGTGTATGAGTGCTTTTGCGCTCCCCTTGCTAAATATAGCAAATGATTGCAGTCGCATTTACAGTTGGCTCGCTCAGTCGGTTAGTCAGTCAGTCTGCGCCCCCTCTAGCAGTGCTATGCGCTTGACGCTCTTTGGCCGCACATTCCACGTGGCCATGCACTTTGCTCGCCTTTGCGCATTGCATTTGAATTTTTCTTTTTCTTTTTTTTTTGCATTACAACAAGAACACAAATATCAACTTTAAGCGAGAACTGCAATACACATAGGCACACATACATAAATATATACCCACAAATATATATAAATGTATATGTAAATGTATGCCCGCCCCTTTTGCCATGCCCTGCACAATTTTGTTTTCATGCAAAAAGGTTGAAGACCTTTCACCTACTTTTGTCGCGAACGGGGCGAACGGGGCGAACGGGGCGAGCATCGACACAGGGCGAAGAGCAAACAGTTTTTCGCTGCGCGAAGAATACGAGCGAGTGAGGCGAGCCAAGGCGAGGCAAAGACAAACAAAACAACCGTTGCTAATATGGCGCAGCGACTGCTTAATACCCTGACTTGGACAATGTTATATCTATGTATCCGTAGCAGCAACGGAAATATATAATATAAATAATAACAATCAAAATCAAAACAAAGTCATAAAAATTATCTTATCGCTGCACACTTTAGATATATGTAAATTTGAGAGCTGTATGACTTTAAAGTTGTCGGTGCACAATACATGACCGCTACGTTAATGGAAGGGTATTTCAATAGAAACAGATGCAGCAGCAAACGAGAACGGAGTGAGGACGAAAGAAGTAAAGAGGAGCCTGAACTCTGTTATGTTCGTATGTGTGAGTGTTTGTGTGTGTGCAGCTATTGTGCACTGCGCTCGTGTATTATTGTGCACATATATTTAGCACGTTTAGTATGTTCGATTTGCAGGTTTCAATACCCAGTGAGAATGAAAATACAGGGTATATTGATTCTGTTCAAGTCTATGCAGCAGTTGCATGTACAGATGAATCGATCTGGCTAGTTGATTCAGATCTCTGCATTGATATGAAAAACCGGACGACAGACGTGAGAGCTAGCGAAACTCGTGCTTGTGTGTGTGAGTGTGCATGTATGTATGCAAGAAGTATAGAATAATTGAGACATCGGCTCCGCGCTGGGCTTAAGGTATCTTCCAGTCATACACTTTCGGCTAGAGCACACTTACTCTTACTTGTTGCAATTGCCGTTGTTGCTGGTTGTCTTTGAGTATTGAAACAAGATATTTGAATATTAGCCGTTTGTAATGTAATCCAATATCGTGGCTATAGGAGCTGCAGATAACGGTGACTAATTGTAAGCCAGCACAATTCAAAAAATCAAATATAAAATATAATATAAAATTGTGTTGCCTTGCCCAACAGCTGACCCTCTTTAGTAGCTTTCTATGCGGTAGTTTGTCGCGCTTTTGTTTCTGCTTTTTCATTTATGCTTTGTTGTTTTTGCCAGCCAATCGCAAATTATTTGGGTCAATTATAAATATTAAACGCAATTAGCAATGAAATTTCAATTTCATTATCATCAACGTTGACGGCGACGCTGGCAGCACAAGAAAACCAACAAAAACAAAACAAATTTGTTGACGATGCGCACAACGCGACTGATAAGCAGGCGAATGCGAGTGAGAAAGAGAGGGCAGGCACAGAGACGGGGGTTCGGCGATGAGCTGGGCAATGCATAAGCAAGAAGTGGGCGCTGAGGGTACGTGGCGGGAGATCTGACTGCTGGCGGCACCAAACGATGTGGTCGTCGTCGTCGTCGTCGCCGACGTCAGCGTCATCGTTTATTCTCTCGCGCAATGTCAAGATTATTGTGACCTTAATTTTGGACACTGTCAAAAAATGCGTTGAGCAAACGAAATGCGTGTAAACAACAGTTAGATAAGATATATGTATGTACAGCAGCAGCATCAGAAGCTGCTGTAAAACAGCTGCTCAAATTTGAAGCCAACTGACGAATAGTCCTTGACAAATGCCAAATGGCTTATCATGGCAATTCATGCTCTCCCACTCATACCCACTACGTCAGTTATTGGTCGTTTTTTCCCTGGACGCAAGTGTCAAAACAGAAATGCTCAAATTGCAGCAGAAAAAAACAAATGGAAAAAAAACTCTTCTATCACACACATATCCACACACACACATGCACACACACACATACATTCAAATGGCCATCCGCCTGCCGCCCCAGGCGAGTTGTTGATTATCTTTGACTTGGAAATGACCTTAAACTAGGTTAAAGCTCGCCAAAGTTACCCAAGTTGAGCAGCACGTCGACTGCGACGACGACGACGACGACAGCGGCTGCTGTGCTTTTGTCTGTGCAGTGGCTGTAAATTTGAACTTTCTGTGCAGCTGAGCGTGACTGCAGCCAGAGAGAGAGAGAGAGAGAGAGCGCGCAAGAGGAAAATATTAATATTAAATAAAACTGCATGCATGGTAAAACGATGTAGGAAACGATCCAATGCAAAATGAAGCAGAGCCCGCTCAAATTAGAATGTCCACAAAAAGCTCTGCTAATTGCTTAATAATTATGTATGTAGTATGTATGCACATACATCTCCATTTAGACACATGTAAACGTATGCAATATATACATGTATTTAGGTATGCGTCTGTGTAATTAATTTCTATTTGCCAAGAGAAAGTAAAAACAAAAAAAAAAAAATGAGGGAAAAAAACCATCATTCATTGCTCATCAAATTTGACGGCAACGGTTCGTTTTCTAATGTGTGACCCCTCGCTTGTCTGCTCTCTTGACTCCTCATTGTCATTGTTGCGGTGTAGGCGTAAAGTAAGCTGCGCAGCGCCAAAAACGAGAGCGCAACACGACAAAAAGAAATGAAAAAAGAGCAACAACAACAACAACAACAGCATAACAAGGCATAACAAGGGCCAGGCAACCAGTTGGCACACAATCTCCCCTCTACCCAACAGCTGCCTACGCCTGAGCACAGCTTGAAAACGCCGAGAATGAGAGAGCTGACAACGAGACACAGTTGTTTCTATACATATATATAAATATATGTATGTATGTGTATGTGTTCGTTGCTGCGAGAGCGTTCGTGATGAGAGCGGCGGCCAAAAGGTGAATGACATGCCAGCTCACTGACTTGGCGCTAGCTACAATTCGGCTTTGACTTCGTTAATATCGAAAATGCAGAGCATTAGATGTGCTTGTTGTTGTCGTTGTTAGTTTTCATACATAGCTAAATTTGTGAAGCGGCGAACTTTCAAAAAACAAACACAACAAACGTAATGCTAAGAACGAAACGGGCGCACAGCAGAGCAGACAGTCAAAGCTTTACAGCACACAAAAGCTTGCGCTGTATGCTTCGTGCTTGCATTCGTCTGTGTTCGGCAACTGACTTCGGCAACGGCAATGACAGTGTAGCTGTGCCTCGTACTTTACATTCTGCCTCTTAGTAGGTCAACAAAATTCCGGACAATGGCCTTTCGCTTTCGTCTGAGCGTCTGCGATGCGTCGCTGTCGCTGTCGTTGTTGCGCTGTTGCTATTGCTGTTGCTGTTACTGTTGCCGTCGCTGCAACTGCAACTAGAAGCGACGCTGGCGTCGGCGCCAACAGCAAATGAGCGTGGAAATGTAAATAGAGGCGATGCAAAGACAAGAGAAGCACCGATACCCGCCCGCTCACCCACCCAACGACAAGCGAACACATGCACGCATATGCATTAGTACGTACATACGTATGTACATACATATATCGCATGCATGTTCGCTTGCATTCGCCGTGATGAACATAAAGATATTTCAGCTGTCGTCGCCGCCGCCGTCGCCGCCGCCACCGCCATCGCTGCTGCCTCCGCTATTCGATACAGTTTTTTTTTTCTAATTATTTTTTTGCTTTAGCGATGGCGTAATAGACATGTCCGCCTCCTGCTGTGGTAGCGTCTGTGTCTGCGGCTGCGACTACGACTGTGACTGCGACTGCGACTGCGGCTGTGACTGCTATCGATTGCCAGCTGGAAGCTTGTTATGCCATGTGCCATGTGCCAAGTGCCATACGCCATGTGCACTCCACGGCATCACCCCCACCAATCGAATATCTCATAGAAGAAGAGGAACAAGACGCTGCAGAAGATGAACAATCGAGACTATCTTAACTTGAACTCCAAACGAATTAAGAAGCTGAGAGCTTCTGAAAGCTTTTTCTACACATCTAACACATGGTTGTATGTCTGTATGTGTGCAAAGGAAACTTTATGTATTGGTGTAAAAAGATCTGATCAATAAGACTCAGCTAAAGGCTTGGCTGAAGATTTCTTGAATCTCAATTAAAACTGTTCTCTATCAGTGGAATCAGTGGACCAGAGTTTGCAAAAGTTAAAAGGAAATCAAGGCTCTACAACAATTGTTAAGTGTTCAATTGAACAAGTTCTAATGAGCGACTTGATCCATTGAACTATTCACTCGAATATGATTCGTTCTATTTATTGGCTAAGTTGTTTCTGAACTATTCGTTCTTTGGAGCTCAAGAAGTTTGCAGGTGCTACCATGAAGAACTTTCTAGAAGAACAAAAACTAATGGTTGAGGGCCTCGATATTTACATTTTCATAGCCTATAGGTGTGTGTGTGTGCGTATGTAGGTTAAAGGACGTTGCGTTCGTTGCACTCGCAGACTGAAGGACATCCCGAAGGGGAGATGTGGCAAGGACTGTGTGGCATGGCTTAGCCTTACATGAATAGCGGCCCAGAGCCCAGGCCAACAGCAGCAGGCAAGTCAACACATGCGAATCCTTGACGCTAGACGTCGACTGCGACTGCGACTGCAACTGCGCCTGCGACTGCGACGTCGACGTTTCAGTCACGTACTCTGAAGTGTGCTTCGAGCAGAGCGAGCCGCAACCAAAGGCAGACGTAGTCAGCTCCAGACACATGCCACAAGCCCCACGCTCGGCCATTGCATATTTATGAGGCGCACACACACACACACACAGACAAACATGCTGCAGCTACCCGGGGGAAGGTTGTTGGCACAGTTTTTATCGGAGTCCGTTGTACCCGTCGAAGGATGCGAAATCCTTCGTCGAACAACAGCCTTGGACAGCAGTTAATACAAATGCCAACGTGTACTAATAATAATACATGTATTATATAATATTATAAGTATAAGTATACGTATAAGTATAAATATTTTTATAAATGTATAAGTATTTGTAAAAGTAAAGTAAAAGTTAGTATAAGTATAAGTATAAGTATAAGTATTAGTATAAGTATAGGTATAAGCATAAGCATAAGTATAAGTATAAGTATAAGTATAAGTATAAGTATAAGTATAAGTATAAGTATAAGTATAAGTATAAGTATAAGTATAAGTATAAGTATCCGTATAAGTCTCCGTATAAGTCTCCGTCTCCGTCTCCGTCTCCGTCTCCGTCTCCGTCTCCGTCTCCGTCTCCGTCCGTCTCCGTCCCCGTCTCCGTCTCCGTCTCCGTCTCGGTCTCCGTCTCCAGTCTCCGTCTCCGTCTCCGTCTCCGTCTCCAGTCTCGGTATCCTCGCCGTCTCCGTCTACGGTCTCCGTCTCCCTCTTTCTCTCCGATGTCATCAGATCTTTGGCCCCGTGTATCCGTCCCCGGTCCGCCGTCCCGTTCTTCTCCGTCGCCGTCTCCGTCTCCGTCTCCGTCTCCGTCTCCGTCTCCGTCTCCGTCTCCGATCTCCGTCTACGCTCCGTCTCCGTCTCCGTCTCCGTCTCCGTCTCCGTCTCCCGTCTCCCTCTCGTCTCCGTCTCCGTCTCCGTCTCCGTCTCCGTCTCCGTCTCCGTCTCCGTCTCCGCGTCCGTGTCCGTGTCCGTGTCCGTGTCCGTCTCCGTTTCCGTCTCCGTCTCCCTCTCCGTCTCCGTCTCCGTCTCCGTCTCTGTCTCCGTCGTCTCCGTCTACGTCTACGTATCAGTAGTCTTAGTATCAGTGACCGAACCAGACGTTCAGTAGCACAATCGGTATAATTTGAAAAAGCTTTTTCACTAATCGATAACTATCGGTTTCACATCAAATTCAATAGCTATGTATATTAAACTGTTAAGGCTTGATAATCAATATAATATATAATATGATGATTTCATTTCTCTAGAAGACTTCCTCTTTCTATACCCCTAAACGCGATTGTTTGTGTAGTTCGATAATTTATCTAAACGGAAAATGGAGCTGAGTCTGTTTAGACGAATTGACTATGTGGTCAATTTTTGGTCGGGCTTGCCCAACTTCAATTTTTTAATGAGTATCACTTACCCCACGGCTCGGCTGCGCTGCCTCTGCTCGGTGCTGCTTCTGAATCTGAATCGATCTCTAGTTCGTATTTTATGCGTTGTGGTTCTTGTTATTTTTGTATTTGTCGCGTTGCGATTAATGTAGCTGCCAATATTCACATTGACTCTGTGGACGCGGGCAAGACGGGTGCTGCGGAAAAAAACAAGAAAAGCAAGCAAATCAAAGGTTAATAAGAGAAAATTTCTGAGATTTGTGTTTGTGTCTTCGCTATGCTTTGCGTATACAGCAACCCAAACGCTTAGTTGAAGTTTACTATAGACTAGATGTCGCTGCACTGCCAATAGAGGGCGCCAGTAAGCTTTTAGTCAGCAAAAGCTCGAACCGCCACTGGCAATATTAGCATCGGCTTAACAGCAACAACATATGTTAAACCGCTGGTTTAACAGTGCCAACAGCTGCTTAACATGCACAACTAATGTTGCATGCTTAACAGCGCGCGCAAAAACAACGGCAACACCGTCGACATGTAACGCAGACACAAACCCCACGCCTGCTGTTGAATTAAAATTAATTAACTATTAAGTATGATTGTTATTTAATCACAAGCCAAATACTTGCTGTAAAATATTACATGTAATGCATTACATATACAAATACAGGGCTAAACAACTCTCTACTGCCAACAACGCTGTTAACGGAAACGCGTGCGCTCTCTTTGCCGCTCTTCGCGGATATCGCTTAAGCACTCTCTTAACACGCTGCCCACTCTCTCACTCTTTCACTCATCGCTCTTCGTTGGCAAGTTTATTGACTTGCCTCTTACTGTGAGTCTTCTGTTTTGAAATTTGCTGTTGCTGTTGCCTTTGCTGTTGTTGTGTTTGTGTGTCAATCAGTTTCATTAACCCGGCGAATGCAACGCGACGTCAACGTCGACGTCAGGATGAAAGGTCAACAAAGTACGTTCCGCACACATACACAGGCACGCATGGCTATGCACTTGTATGCGGCCTGTGGCAACTTGAACTCTAAAATGTCACTAAATATGAAGTGACACTTGTAACCGCTGCCCCTCCCCTTCCTTAGAGTTGCACCCGCGGCACCTGCTGCAGCCGGGCGACCCCGACAAACTGCAGCACCAAATGCGGAAGAATGAATAACACAAATGAAACGAAAACAGAACAACAATAATAATAACAACAACAACTGCCAGCAGCACAATAATAACAGCGAACCAGCCAAACAGCGCTGCGTATACAGCGGATTTCCCGCTAAAATGTAATTGAACTTCAAGACGCGGGCTTGATCCCGAGAGAAGAGAGAGAGAGAAGGGAGAGAGGGAGGGTCGTTTGCCATGTTTTTCTTTATGTGTGTTCGAAACTTCAACTGAACCTAAGATCTTACTGCTTCTACTGCATATGACTTCGAATTGTTATTTATATTACAAGTTGTAGTCATGGCTAATCAGTTGAAAGTCTCATATTATTCATGTTTGAATATGCCCCAGAATAGACTAGACATTAACAGTTACTTCAATTAGTCATACGTTCAGATAAGAGAATTATGAATGTGTACCAATATTCCTCTTAGGCACTGTTACAGCTCATCATGTTTTCTCTAGAAATTTATATTATTGCAATTAAACACAAAAAACCAAACTCATAGTTGTATGTTTTCTAAGTTTCAAGTTCCCTTGTTAGCCTTGGCTCAGCCTCTTTAGCAGGTATTTCACATAATTTTAGATATAATTTATATAGAATTCCATGCCCAATTTGAGTAATCTAAACTTTATAGTTTGCCAGTTACGATAGGTTAGCAGCGTGTAACAGCATGCTGTATAATTTATGAATAACCCCATAAGCCAAAGCCCGCATTCAAAATTTTAACTCTCTAGCTCCAATAGTTCTCGAGTTACGATAGTTTGGCTACGTATAAGAGCACGTCAATAAGATTTATTATACTATTTCTGAAAGTATTTATATGCCATAGACCACTTTCTAAATTTCAACCCTCTAGCTCTAATAGTTCTCGAGTTACGATAGGCTAGCAGTATTCTAGTTGGGTTTACTATACAATTTATTAAAAACCCGATAAGCGAAAACCTACATTAAAAATTATGACTCTCTAGCTCCAATAGTTCTCGAGTTACGATAGGTTAGCTACGTATAAGAGCATTGCTTTTGCGTTTAACTATGTGGTTAGGCAGAATGCTTATGCCAGGCAGCCAATCTAGCTACTAGAGACTTTAAGCTGTGATTGTTCGGATACCATGAACTTTTAGAAGACTGCCACAGCTGGTAATAAGCGCATGTTAAAGCTGCTGTCAATTGTTTGATCCATGCACATGTTTTGCGGCTGCGGCTTCGTTTTGTTTGTCAACAGTTGGCAGCACAGAGAGGCGTTTGCGTTAGCGTTCGCCCTCGTTGTTGTTATTGTTGTTTCGCATTGTGTGCATAACAGAAGACAAACAAAAGTATTCGCCGTGTTCCGGCGGTCCCACAGCCGTCTGCATGGCCACTGAGCGGCTGCCCCCAACCCCCAGCGAACGTAGGAGTCAGCACACGGCAGCAGGCTAAAAAGGCAGGCAGAAAATAAAAATAGATTTTTCTCGGTATATAGGATAACGACCAGGAACGACCCCAAAAGCGCGGACGCACGGGCAACGACCGGCAAAAAGCAGACGCAAAAGCAAAAGAAGCACCAGAAGAAGCGGAGAGCACAAAAAATAATAAAAACCAATACAAAAAGGCAAAATCAACGCAAGTTCCGTTTGCCAGCGGGCGCTCTTAGAGTTGGTAAAGAGAGCGCAAGCCCTACTGTGTGTGGTGCGGTAGGACTTGAAGAGCGACACACACACACACACACACACACACACACATGCACAAGCATAGCTACATGAAAAGAGCGCGAGAGAGCGCCGTTGTTATTATTGTTGTTGCTGCGTGTGTTTACATGTATGTGGGCTTGTGTGTGTGTGTTTGTAGGGGTTGCTGACCTCTTCTCAGGGTCGCCAAAGGTTGTTCAACTCTACAGCAGCAACAACAACAACAACAGCTAAATAAAAAGGAGCTCAATGTATGCCGTTGCTGCGCACAAGCTGGCGTAGGGACGCGTTTGCCTGCCCAAACAACCCCGCTTGCCCGCTGCTCTATTGCCACACACACACACATACTTGTAGCGTGTGTATGTTTGGCGCTTGTTGGGCGCCAAATGTGTGCTGGTCGTTGCCCTCGGGATGCCTTTGCTCCTACCTGCCGCGCTGCTGCCATTCCTCTCTCCCTCTCTGGCCTGTTAGGGCCGTGACGTAATGTCGCAACAGGGCATTTCCCGCATTCCGCCCTCTCTTTCCCACTATCTATATCTTTCTGTGCCCCTCTCTCTCTCTCTCTCTCTCTATCGCTCTTTGGCTGGATTGTTACATTGCTTTTTGCGCGCAATGTTGCAACTTGTAGCTAGGGGTTGGATGTGAAAACACGGCTGCTGCAACGTCCCCAGCTGCAATGTTCATAGTTATACTTGTATTTACATATATATATATATATATGTGTATATATATATATATATATATATATATATATATATATATATATATATATATATATATATATATATATATATATATATATATATATTATACATATATATATGCATATGCATATATGTTTGTATGTATGTAGATTGTCTGAGGTTAGGGTTGAATGCGCGACGCGCAATTCTTGTTTTTTTTTTTTTGCTTTGTTGTGCATTTTGCAACTCTTTCTGTTGTTTTGTTTATTTATATTTTTTTTTTTTTATATTTGTGATTTTGTCTAGCAAACACTAATCCTGTTTTTATTACTTTTATCATTTGCATATCTATATACATATATATGTCTCTAGATTTATAGACAGTCTATTGCTTCGACGTATTTGCTTAGATAGTATCTATGCCTGAGCTGAAGCCGATTGTTATCTAGTTGATATAGAAATCGAGAGATATCTACATACAAACGTAGAGTATCTTATGTACAGCTAGATTTTTACTTTCTAACCAATATCTTACCCATAATCCCATTTCCAGTCTCCTTGCTTCTCGCTACGCGCCTGCCTTGTTCATAAAAATAGTAGTGCGACTGAGCACTACATTTTGAACCCAACAATTTGGCGATAGACACAATTTTTTGAAGAATTCGAAACGAATATTAAGATTATCATATATTCTCCTTTTTTTTAAATATTTTTATTTATTTTTTTTTGTTACTCCTGGTAGCACGACTTGAGCAAGAGCAAACTAACGTGTTCATAAAAATAGTAGTGACTGCAAGAATTTCGAAATTAAACTATTTAACTTTAGTCCAACCTCAGATTTTGTGCTTTACATATATATTTTTTAGTCCAATACTCAATTGCAAATCCAGAGGAATTTCGTTGCCACGCCTCTCGCACTACTTGCCACAGCTCTGCTCTGGTCGAGTCGCTTTTCAGTTGGCTTAGTGCAGCACTACTATTTTTATGAACACAACTGTATACACATACATATGTATATGTATCTCCCAATACCATTCATTTATTTAATTTCCTTATCAAAAATTCGATTTCTTATCGTGTTCTCTTTCTCTGTTGTATTTCAATATCTTTCCACATATTCAAATAAAAATCCCATTACCCAGCGAAACATCTTCTCTCTACTGCAGATTGTTTCACTTTCCATCTTCGCCTGTAGTTCGCAGGTGTAGCTGATGGGGCATACGTTGGGGAGCCTCAAATAGATACATTTTAGTATCAATAAACAATTGTCGCTTTACTTTTTGAGCAAACCTCGTCTATATTTTTGTTCATTTCCCTTTCTATATTCTCTATTTCCCTCTAGCTGGTAACTAAGTACTCTTATCTTATCTTCTTATCGATTTTTTAAGTCATTCGCTATGTTATGTCCGTTCCCAAAATAGTGAAATAGCGCATAGCATAGAGCTCTATAGCTTGATCAAAATCGTTGAGCTCCTCTCAAGATGAACGAAGATATTTGAACAAATGTTAATTTTTTTGCTCGTTTACGAAGTGACAGGGCTCCGTCCGGCTGTCGACCCGTCCGTCCGTATGTTTCAATGCAGCTAAAGAGCTGGCTATAGACGCCCATTGGAGGCGTGGGAAATCATGTAGCCTCATTTAGTACTAGAAGTTCAGCAACTGGACAATTGAATTGCTATGGGCTT